TTTTTTTGCGTCGTCACTCTTCAGATGCGCTCTACTCATTCTCCCAGACGTTTATATTTTTTTTTTACGTTTTAGGAGACATGCAGTGCATGCCAACTCGTGTGCCGCTGGGTAGATCAGCACGTTACAGTAGCTACAAATGTGCGCATCTACCACAAACGCAGGACATCTCTGATTGGATCTCTTCCTAAATCGTCACTATCTAACATTTTGTCTATTTTTTATTCATTGAATATCCGTTGTTTAACCAGCGCAACATATTTGCGATGTCATTTAAGCCATTTGATAGATGTACCGCGGAACAAGTCTCCGGGTGAGTAGCCGGCCAGTGATAGTAATTTTGATGGTTAATTTTGATGGTTAATTTTGGCATTTGGCATAAGTAAGTTAGCCTAATAGGCTAGTAATAAATTAACACACATACAAAAATGTTTTTCGTCCTGGAAAATATTTCGGTTCGTCCTAAACACATTTTCTATCGTCCCCAGGACGATAGGACGCCGTTAGTCTCGAGCCCTGCGAGGAATATTCGAAATGAAATTTTTTATTTGACAGCCCTAACTTGTTGCAGCTCCTCTCTTCCCAGTCTGTCAGTAACGCTTTGTTTAGTCCCGGTCTCTATGAAGCTCCTCCTTCTGAAAAGCACACTGTGCTCTGATTGGTCAGCTGGATTGGTCTGTTGTGATTGGTCGAGTGCTTAGAGTGTGTTTGGGAATTGTCCCGCCCCTTACCACAACCGCCAGTTTCAATACACTACTAACTAAAGCCCTATTCGGACAGGACTAGTTTTCCAGGGGGTTGTTAGAGAAATTTGTGTTTCACAGACTTTCTTTTTGCAATTTTAATCGCGCCCGAATCTGCCAGGTCTGTGTTTCACAACCTGTAAACATTCCAGACAAATGACCTACTGTTTTTCGGCAAGCATAGAAACTCAAGACTACAATGGAGGCGTTTCAGGTGTTCAGAAACACTGACACTGATGACTTGTAACTTTGCAGAGGTTTAACATGCTCAAATAGCAACATTACACACTAAAGAAAGATGAACATAGCAGAATAGGTCCTCTTTAATGTTGTATTTCAGTTGCATCTCCTGCTTCAGTGGTTTTCAGCCTCTCCCCCTTCAGGCCGGCTCGACAGTCCTTGAAACTCCTGGAATTTAATTTTAAAGTATCTGTACAAACCCTGGAATTAGTTTGTTCATGTCTAAAATCAGCTAAATATTTATATAAGCTAAATACTAATCATGACCTGACATGAATCACAGATGTGTTTGTTCAGGATAAAGCCAGAATTCTTCCATGCAGTCCTTAAAGGGATAGTTCACCCAAAAATGAAAATAAGCCCATGATTCACTCACCCTGAAGCCATCCTAGGTGTATATGACTTTCCTCTTTCAGACGAACACAATCAGAGCTATATTAAAACATGTCCTGGCTCTTCCAAGCTTTATAAATGGAGTGAATGGGTATATTTGTATTATATTATATAATGGGTATATACACTGAACAAAATTATAAACGCAACACTTTTGTTTTTGCCCCCTATTTTTCATGAGCTGAACTCAAATATCTAAGACTTTTTCTATGTACACAAAAGGCCTATTTCTCTCAAATATTGTTCACAAATCTGTCTAAATCTGTTAGTGAGCACTTCTCCTTTGCCGAGATAATCCGTCCACCTCACAGGTGTGCCGTATCAAGATGCTGATTAGACAGCAGGATTATTGCACAGGTGTGCCTTAGGCTGGCCACAATAAAAGGCCACTCTAAAATGTGCAGTTTTGTGACAAATCATGAGCCAATTTTCATTTTTGGGTGAACTATCCCTTTAATGCAGGAATGATCACAGTCCTGCTCTGAATATCACACGCATCACTATTACTTCAGCTTATAGTTAGTGTTTATTTAATTAAGTTAATTGAACAAACCATAACACCAAGTATTACAGTTTTTCACAATTGCTAAGACACTAAACTAAACCAAATTCTCAATAGGCAAACCAATGTGTCGAATAAATCACTATTTCTGCAAAGTTTAGGCAGTTAAGAGACCGTTTGCAAATCTCTAAACACATTCTCATTCATTAAAACACATTTCTGTGTATCTCAATACATTTGTGTCGCAAAACACTAAACACGAGGCAAAAGTTAAACACAACTGAAACACAGTTGTCATTGTTTACACACAACGACTCAAAATTGTTCACACTTATTTTTAATGGTGTGATCAAACCAGCTGTGTGAAATATGAGCCAATTCAGAGTGTACACGTGACACTGAATGATGATACAAACAACAATTTTCTTGTATTACTGTAACATGCTTTTCATTTACAGTTTTGTTTGACATTTGACGTCTTTTGCAGTATTTTCGATGGAAGCTTGTTTCTGCCACAGAATAAAACATTTTAAAAGATAAGTGTGACTTTTTCCCTCAGAATTGCGAGTTTATATCATGCAATACTAACTTTATAACCCGCAATTGCATGTTATAAAGTCTGAATTTCGAGATATAAACATGCAATTCTGAGAAAAAAGTCAGAATTGCAAGTATATATCTCATAATTTTGACTTTATAACACAATTCTGACTTTATAACTCGTAATTGCGACTTTATATCACGCAATTCTGAGATAAAAAGTCAGAATTGTGGGATAAAAAGACGCAATTACCTTTTTTATTCTGTGGCGGGAACAAGCTTCCATAATTTTCACAGTATGCTGAATATACAGACATTCATAGACTACTATTCAATATTCAGTACAATACTATATTTGCAGTACATACAGTATACAATATATGACTATACTTTATGTATTTGCAAAAAATTGTGTAGTGTGTACAATATAATTCTTTTCCGTAATGTTCTCCATTTTTTGATGTAGTGTTTAGTGAATGATCTGTAGTGCTTGTGTTATTGACTCGTGTGTGTATGATCTGAAAGCATTGTTTGATTTTGAGTACAGGTGAAGTGATTTTAGAGCGATTGTTTGACTTTGCCAGAAGAGCCAGAGGTTTTGTGAGTTTAGTTTTAAAATTTGGATTTGTGTTTAATGTTTTGAGAAAATAAGTGAACGTTTCAAGTAATTTGTCTCAGCAAATGTGGAAAAACTGCCTGTGCATAATTCATCCCAGCTTCAAAATTTAAAAGCATGCAGATTTTTGTGTTGATAAGGCTTAAGATTTGTGTCTGTCTGATTTTTAAAATGTCTGAAAAACACTCCCATATACATGCATTGAGGGAGGGCCTGAGACACATGTTTAGGCAAGAGAATATTAGAGCTTTTGTACACGGCAAACACCATTCGTTTCTCAGATTCGACCGATTGTCTGAAATGATCAAGTTGTTCTGGCACCATTTTAATAAACCAGCAATAAACCACATGCCCTGTTTAAGCTGGTCAGTGTGTCCGGTTATGCAGTTGCAGTGACTGTCCTCTAGACCGCGCTAATGTCCCACTGACCCCTCATTGATCAAAAGTAACAGTAAAGACATTTATCATGTTACAAAACCTTTCTATTTCAGATATGCTGAACATCCTGTTCAACTTTCAGAATCACATTGATATAATAATAATAAATGTTGAATAAAAGCAGATTTACTGTATTTGTGATCAAATAAATGCCACCTTGGTGAGCGGAAGAGACTTAAACAAATCTTACCGATGCCAAACGTGTGTGTGTGTGTGTCGTCTTTAAAACACAACATTAATCTGAAGCTAAACTGCTTCCTGGTAGGTTTAATCTAAGCCTCAGACAGTTTAGTCCTGAAGTACCTGGTCTTCCTCCAGGAAATCATGGTCATCATCGGTGATGTTCTCCTCTGCCCGTCTTAACCGTCTCTCATCGGGAGTCAGCAGCTGGGGTTTTATTTATTTTTAATGTTTATTTTTATATTTTTTCCACAACAACTTTACTGTCTACCGACCGTATCGGTGAACGTGATTTCACCAAGTACCACATGTTCCTGGATCAACATCTTTGTTGATCCTGGATCAACTTTCCAATCAACCAATCAGATTTGAGGGACAAGTTTACAGTTTATGTCAAGTTTAGGCTTAGAACCAGGGTGAAGTACTCAAACATCAGTGCTATTCACCTTTCATTACCCTCTGATTTTAGGGGAAAGTTATGGGTAGGGTTAGGTTTAGGGGTAGGGATTGGCTAAGGACTACATTTTGGGACAGGAATATTGATCCAGGACCATGTCTTACTTGGCAAAATCACGGTGACCCTACTGTAACGTCAACCCACAGATTTCACAAAATGAGGCTGATGATTCTTACCTAAAGTTGTGTTTTCCTTGTAGATGTGTGTTCATTTCCATTTAATTCATTGTTTTTGATTGCAGTCTTTTTTTCTCCTGCCATTGTTTTACGTAGATTTGCTACAAGTTTAAGCTTTTCTTGGTTCATTCCATGTTTAATAGGCAACTTTAGTGGTGCTAATTCAGATTAGCAAACTCGGTTTTAAATGAATCTTGTTTATTGTAGTTCAGGGGCTTCATAGTCCAGGTGTTAGTAATCTGCACTTAATCTGAAAGCCATTTTTTAAGCCACGATTTACTATACCTAGGGGGCGAAACACCTGTTTTTTAGGAAATCAGACCTGGGTTGCTGTAAAAGGTTGTCATATAAAAATGAAATCTATGATGTCTGAGGATCACAACCTTGGTGGACAGCCCGGTCAACAAGCTGCTGGAAACTTGTAATTCGGGTCAAAACAATGCTACCTCAAATTCTGCTTTAACTCCCCAGAATCACCCAAACATACAAAAAAGGTTTAATTATATTCATGAATCCTGAGCCATATCTCCCTGATTATTACTATTCTAGATTAAGGCCTAATCCTGTCTTAATTTAATCCGGGAAGCCGTCCATCTGTGTAAAAGAGCACTATTATCTCTAATAGTTGATTTGATAGTTGAAAGTTACTTTAGACTGAAGTGTGTCAGGCAATGTACAGTTTTGAGAATAACGTGTGTGTGTGTGTGTGTTGCAGGATCTACACCCCGTTTCGCGAGGACACGGACACGGTGGGCCAGCGCGCTCTGAACTCCATGCTGAACGCCACCATCATGATCAGTGTGATCGTGGTCATGACCCTTGTGCTGGTCATGCTCTACAAGTACAGATGCTACAAGGTCTGTTCACTCTAGTGTTAGGATCACACTCATGCTTTGTGCGCTCATGCTGCAGGTTCATGATTTGTTTTGGGGTTTTTTTGCAGGTGATTCAGGCCTGGCTGTTCTTCTCCAACCTTCTCCTCCTCTTCTTTTTCTCCTTCATTTATTTGGGGTGAGAACCGTTTCTTGTCCTAGCGTTGGGCTGTGATTTATAGGGGAGTGATTTATAGGGCTATTATTGAAGTGATTATTATGTTTCTAGCATGTTATATGTTTGGCAACAGTTCTTCTAACCCTAATTGATGGAGTGTTTAGCTTTTTTATTTCTAAAACAACCACACCAAATGTTGTAATGTTATTTCCATCAACAGATAAATACATTTTTAAATCAAGATCTTGTATTGACAATGCAGAGTCAAGACTCTCTAAAGTCTCCTCCAGCACATCCCAAACACTTTCAATGAGTTTAAAGGGTTAGTTCGCCAAAAAATGAAATTTCTGTCTGTAATTACTCTCTCTCATGTCGTTCCAAACCTGTAAGACCTTCGTTCATCTTCAGAACACAAATTAAGATATTTTTGATGAAATCCGAGAGCTTTCTGACCCCACATAGGCAGCAATGTCATTGCAACTTTCAAGGCCCAGAAAGGTAGTAAAGACATCGTTAAAATAGTCCATGTGACTCCAGTGGTTCAAATGTAATGTTATGAACAGAATGCCGGCTCACTATTGGCTCCTGCGTCAGCATCACACGCATGTGTCGTTGTGCTCACGTGACCAGCGTCGGCCAAAAGTGAGGCGGCGTTCTGGTGTAGAACCAGGAAGTGCTGCGGAGAATGACGGGGAAGAGAAGAGATTGTTGAATAAAGTCGTTATTTCGGGGTTTCTTTGCACACAAAAAGTATTCTCGTCGCTTCGTAACATTAAGGTTGAACCACTGGAGTCACATGGACTATTTTAACGATGTCTTTACTACCTTTCTGGGCCTTGAAAGTTGCAATGACATTGCTGCCTATGTGGGGTCAGAAAGCTCTCGGATTTCATCAAAAATATCTTAATTTGTGTTCTGAAGATGAACGAAGGTCTTACGGGGTTGGAACGACATGAGGGAGAGTTAATGACAGAATTTAAATGTTTGTTTTGGGTGAACTAACACTTTAAGGACTAAGGACTTTAAGGTGCCAATGCATGTGTGGAAATGATTCTTCATGCTCCTCCCAACCATTCCTTCACAATCTGAGCCTGATAAATCTTGACATTGTCATCCTGGAATATGGCCATGATGTGTTTCCTACATGATGGTTTAAGAAATGAAAAGCTACACACTCCATCAAATAGTTACCAAACATGCTAGAAACATAATAATCACTGCAATAATGATCCAATCATAGACTCTTAAGCATTTGTATGGATTGGGAGCTTGTTTCCACCACAGAATATAAAAAAATTATCTCACAATTCTAACTCTTTTTTTCTTCTTTTTTTTACAATTGTGAGTTTACATCTCGCAATTCTGACTTTAATCTCAGAAATGCATGATATGAAGTCGCAATTGCGAGATATAAAGTCGCAATTGTGTGTTGTAAAGTAAGGGTGCTCCGATTGATCGGTCGCCGATCATGATCGGCCGATAATTGCTTTGGGATGTGTGATCGACGGTCTCTATAAAGGCCTATCCAGAAAAGCCGATCAGATGACGCAAAACTCGCGAGACAATTTTTTTACGCCCTGGTAAAAATGGCTTCACCGGTCTGGCAATTCTATAACAGGGCTCTCAAGTGTCAAGCATTGAGCGTGACAGTCACTCATTTCGGTCTTTTGTCACGCTTTCCCGCCACACATTGTATTTCTCACGCTGAAAAACTATTTGTAATATATTGAAAATGCCGCAGCGGCCAAAACTCTGGCCGCGCGCTCTCACTGTGGAACCGGCATGAATCAAGCGCGTTTCCTCTGGTGTTGTTCGTCGAGCTACACAATAGCCAATCAGAAAATAGCACTATTGTATCTGGGTAAGATTTAACGCAACAACCAATGACAAAAATGTATCCAAACCCCCACCGCCCACCCCCCGTGCGTCCGTCAAATCACTCGTACATATTTTTTTCTCTCATCAAAACTGAATATGTTCATCAGCGGTTACAGTTATATCAAGCAAGGATACGTTTGTGTTTTATTTTGTGATTACACCGGAATGAATAGAGTCCGCAACGGCGATAGATTGAAGCGCGCGTCCGAGTGAAGACTGCACAGAGCGAGGCCCAGAGCACTGTATCCATGCAACTGATCGCCGCGGCAACGAGCGCGCACCTTGAGTTCAAAAACACATTTTAGCGCTAGATTTCTTATTTAATAGCGAACTAAATGAATGATCTGCTAGTTAACTGAAGATGTTTTATTTATTTATATTAGGTACATGGTGGGACAGACTTCACTGGATCTAGAAAAAATCAATCTAACCATAGTGACCAGTAGTGGTGGCTTTCTTAATATGTTTAAAATAATTTTGCAAGGGTTCTTCACACACACACACACACACACACACAAAAAGGTTTCTCTACCTCTCTCTTCCTCTCTAAATGCCCACAAAATCTGACTAAGCATCCCAGAAAAAAGCAAAGTTATAGATACAGATATGGAAGTTGTTCGTTTTTGTTTTTTTTGTTGCTGTGCACTTTACTACCGGTGGTCCTTTAAGTGTATTAGAAAAACTGATGGCTGACTGACTCAAAACATTATTTTGGCTATAGCCTTTTTTGTTGCTGTTTTTAGTTTAAAGTAGTCTAAAGCTAAATTTAAAGACTCAGATGTTCTGTCTTTTATTTATTTTATTTTACATTCTACAGGAAAGTTGTATGTCAAGCCCTAAGCTGCTCCCAATAACCAAGCTGCTATGTTAATACATGTTGCTTGCAAATAAATACACAGGTGTCAATTCATTATGCATTGTCTTCTCTTAAATGTAATACTTAATGTAGGCTACATTGTTGTTAAATATAGTTTAATAAGTAATGCTACATGATAAAAAGAAGTCTTCAAATAGACCCTGTAATCGGTGATCGGTATCGGTATCGGGTGATACAGCTTCCAGTAATCGGCGATCGGTGATCGGCCCCAAAAATCCTGATCGGAGCACCCCTATTGTAAAGTAAGAATTGAGAGAAATAAAGTTTTTTTTTTTTCTTCTTAGAATTGGACTTTATAACTCGCCATTGCGATTTTATATCTCACAATTCTGAGAAAAGATGTAAACGCGCAATTGTGAGATAAAAAGTCGCAATTATATTTAAAAATGTTGTATTCTGTAGTGGAAACAAGCTTCCACTCATTTGCCTATTTAAATCCGAACAGCACATGTCTTTGGCCGGGCAGTGTGAAATACAGCACAAATGTAGTTCCCAATGGCCGTGTCTGATGCTCATCGTATGGTACAAGAGCGTTGGTTCTGATGACAGATGCACTGTGTTTCTTCACACCAGGGAAGTGTTCAAGACGTACAACGTGGCCATGGACTACTTCACGGTAGCGTTGATCATCTGGAACTTCGGTGTGGTGGGAATGATCTGCATCCACTGGAAGGGTCCTCTGCGGCTCCAGCAGGCGTATCTGATCATGATCAGCGCTCTCATGGCCCTGGTCTTCATCAAGTACCTCCCCGAGTGGACCGCCTGGCTCATCCTCGCTGCTATATCCGTCTACGGTCAGTCAAGAGTTCATCTGGTTCATATTTATAGTTATAAAACGGTTAGTTCCAATCCTTGATTTTGATTGGTCAATAGCTGTGTTTTCACCCAACGGTTCCATGTATCACTACACCAGTGTTGTGTGTAACGCGTTACTTTGTAACGCGCTACAGTAACGTAACTACTTTTTCTGGTAAAAAGTAGTGTAAAGCGCTACTACTGAAAATTTGGTAACGAAACACAGTTCCTTTTTCAATTCGGCGCAACGTTACTTTCCCCAGGGACAGATTTGACAGCAATCTCCGTCATTTGACAGATTTGACAGCGATCGCCATCTCCGTGAACGCCTACAGAGAGAAATGCAAATAATGGATTACATAATCAGAGAGTAGCCTATTTCTTTTCGTTTTGAATTGTTTCGTTTAAAGACATTTCAAGCTTTCTATTTATAGATATATTTCTCATGTCTGTGAATCATACGCTGAGTTTCGGTTAATTTATGATGCTCCAGTTCATGTGCAATCCAAGTGACCACGCCGGCGCCTCAATGTCATATATTTGCTTCTTATTTATTAAATCCAGGCAATTGGTTGATAAAAAATTGATTCAAATTAAGATACAATTTATACAAAACGAAATTCGCTTTAAAGAAAGGCTTTCTTCAAAACAAAACTTAATGAACTGGTCAAAATCATGTCTGACCCACTCAACGTCACCCGATATATCGCGCATCCATCTTACTCATGCTGTTCACTTTTCATAATCAACATAGATGGAAAAAAAATAACATCATATTTTAACAAATATGAAACTAAATGCACTTTTTTAATGGCTACAACACGTATAGGAGGCCTACAGACTCTATTTGTACACATTCATTTAATTCTGAATTTTGCACACATAAGTTGAAAGGCATTTGTTTACGTGCATAGTAAAACATATCTGCAACATTTATCAAGTTCACGGATAATTGTGCGTGCATTTATTAATCATTAAGATACTAAAATCATAATAAAGTAGGCTATACTATGTACAAAAAATCAGATGAGGCCAGAATATGAACGCAACGCGTTTAATTACACGTTAAGCATTTTCCTCCCATAGAAAACCATTATAAGAAGAACGCTTAATTTGGCTTAATGCAGATTAGAATATCCCCTTATTATGTCGAAATAACAAGATAAGTTTTCTTTTTTTTCTTCACCATGCGGTTCAGGACTTCCATAGAATACAGCCTGAATATAATTGCTTCCAGAAATTATTTTTGGGGGTGCTAACGGGGTGCTTTGGTCTTTCTTGGGGGCTTTCTTTCTAGCCCCTCCCTAGCGTCGCCCATATGCCTATCCATTAACGGGCATTTCTTCATAAATATTCAAAATTTTGATAAATGTATTATGCATTTATGGCATTATATATGACATTATGCATAGTAGAGCTTTATGTAGGCCTACAAATTTAGGAACAGATATTGGGTTCTGCCCAAAGTCAAGCAACATAAAAGTAACGTAAAAGTAACGAGTAATGTAAAAAGTTACTTTCCATATGGGGTAACTAAGTAAAGTACGGATTACTTTTTTTAAGAAGTAATGAGTTACACTACTTTTTAAAAGTAACTTCCCCAACACTGCACTACACAACACCCCTAGCAACCACTCCTAGCAACGTAAACATATGTTTGATCTCATTGATAGCCTATTGTTCATTGAAGCTAGAGTAGAGTATTGTGAGAGATCGAGTAAGCGAGTGTTCCTGCATTGACAGTAGACATAGCATTTTCCTTCAGGTCAGTCCTATATGCATAATAAAAAAATCAGTTTGAATGTCCGCTGCGATATCTTGTCCTTTTAACAGTTAAGGGGGTTTCCGTGCCGATAGTCATTTGTCAGTTGCGTCTTCCTTCTCCGTGTTCACAAGTTTGAGTCCTTTCAATATAAAAGTCTTCTCTACTGACTGACTCACTCATAAAGACAGTTTTTGCCGCCATTTATTGGCGAAATAATGTATGTAACTTCTGTTGCTGTTCACGGGCAGGGACTATTTTTTCCAGCGGAAGGAAGGCTTTTAGTGATTTTACTGTAAGTAATTTTAAGTAATGATCCAATCGCTCCGCTTCACGTCGTGACTTATTCACGATACAGCACAGCCTCTCGAACCGTATTGCTTACTCGTATACTGTAGGGATGCACGATATATCAGCCATCATATCGGTATCGGCCGATATATGTTCATTTTTGATATTATCGTTATCGGCCCGATTGGCTAAGATATTAAGGCCGATAAATAATTGGATTATTTCCTTCAGCTGAGACACTTCAGATGCGCACTGTTCAACCTGATGGGTTTGAATTGCTTGAAATATGATTGAAATCACTTTTTTTTTTTTAAGAAAAAGGAAAATATAGTAAAGTGTAACATGTGCAGCATAAATCTGTCATATAGACCTTATGTAGCCACGCCCCTTTTCAGCGCTGAGCTCATTGTCTTTTGACTTCCGGTCTGTATTTTCACAGCGATCTTGCCTAGTTATGAATGAACGGCTCGTTAAAAAAAATTCCCAAGGTCCATTTGTTAAGACATATGCTTTACAATGCTTATCATAAACATTACAATGCTCATGATAACTTTCGTTAACTCTACAATAAGTAAATCAACTTCACCAGCTAATTACTCCTGAACAGCGATGCCATAGAAATATACAGAGCGACCGCAAAAACGGAAGTTCAAAGACAATATTCTAAAGATGGCGGCACCCTCGTTTCTCTGGTGCATATGGTCTATAGGCTACATTAAATTATAATGACAACATTAAAATTGTGTGCTTGGGTCATGTATTTTAATTGTGAGACTTTTGTTTTTGTAACAAGCTCTCAAAAATGGTATAAAATTGTCATATTTTGCTCTTAAAAATTATAAAAAAATTTGGATGTAGATTTATCACCCAATATATTGGTCACCGGCTTTCAAATATAAACAGTTATCGGCAGGGTGCGATTTGCGGGGGGGGGGGGGATGCGTGGGATTTCCCCCTTTCTGGTCAAAGTATCCCTGCCTCTGCTTAATTATTTTTATCCCCCCCTCAAAGTGATCAGTGCTACTACACTAGTGGCGAGACGGATCACAAAACTTATCACGGGTCCGTGGTTTGATTAAAGTCAATTTTAATTTAAAATGCGCTCCTTCGGCTGGCTCTGGTATAGCGGCCGCAGCCTCTCTGTAATCACCACTCCGCAGACTTGCTCAATGTCCCGCCCACGGCACTATCTGATTGGTTACTCCTCACGAGTAATAGCCAATCAACACTTGCGAGACTGGGCTTTTTAGCACGGCGCGGTAGACACGAATTGACACAGATAATGCATCTGTCTTTTCTATCATTTCACTGTAGCGCGATGTAACGTTAACGTTGTTACTTTAACAGCAGTACAACTCTTTCTACTGTGATGGTTTAACTTTGCAATCAATCCATGGTTCAGCAGACTGATAGGAGTAGCCTAGCCTAAACTAAGTAAAGCGCTGTAATGTGAACTGTCGAACGATAGAACAATAAAATCCGAAATGGACCACCCACTGGAAAGCTGCGGATTTTCCCACAGGAAAGCAGAAAAAGACTGTTTTCCTAGTATGATGCAAAGGCGTACACTATAGCCTATTTATGTTTAAGTTGACACTACGTTGTGCCATTTAATTTTGCCATTCATAAATAAGTGTTTTGACATGTCAAGCCGAGTGGCACTATCCATGGTAGCTACTGAGAGGGGGATTTAATTATTGCGTGTTTTTTCGTTGTGCGTGATCACAGTTCATATAAGCTATTAGAGTAAAAATGTTGCATTAGGCTATGAGTTAATAAGAAAAAAGATTTTACAATTCCTGCAAATGCAGTGATGAAGTTCATGTTCTCGTGATTTATTTTTATGAATAAAACTTTTTCAAAACATCACCCCCTCTGTTTTTTTTCACAAATCGCACTCTGGTTATCGGTATCGTACAAAATATATCGGTGCATCTCTAATATACATTATTTCGTACTTTTGTGTCTGTGTGTGTAGGCTACTTTATTGGATTATTTTTATTTTGGTAAACTTGCTTCTATACACTCCAAAGCATAATATCGCACTTTTTGCATTTCATATAAAAATGTCAGACTGACACCCGCACTGTGATTCGTGAACAAGCTAATTATTTTCAATGAACCGGTTGAATTGGAAATCGCACTGAACGATTCATTTGCAAATTGTCAATGATCCGGTCTCCAGTTCTCTGAACTGTTCATGTCTAACTCAAAATGGACTTTGAGATCCTAAGAGCTTGAGTGTGTGATATGAGTGTGTTATTAATGTCAAATTTTAAATAAAAATCATATTTGATCCAGTTGTGTGAATAAATGCTGTGATGTGTGTGTTCTTGCACTACTGTAGATCTGTTGGCGGTGTTGTGCCCTAAAGGACCTCTGCGTATCCTCGTGGAAACGGCTCAAGAGAGGAATGAACCCATTTTCCCAGCGCTCATCTACTCCTGTGAGTAATAAACCTCTCAGCACTTCTGTCTTCTCAGCCTTTTCGGTGTTAGTTGTTTAGTTGTTCCTGTCGTTTAGTATTTAGTTGTGTCTGTCGCATTTACACGTGTGCTCCTTTGATTTGTCAGCAACCATGGTGTGGCTGTTTAATATGGCGGACGTTGCGGAGACCGGGAATAATTCCAGCCATCCAGTTCCTCAACAGGAGAACCAGGGTGAGTGTCTACTGATAATCACACATGCTCTTATATTCATACTGTACATGAAGCCGTTTCCTTCACAGAAGAAATGTTCTTTTCAGATCTGTGTTTTACATTGGCAAGGAGAAATCTTTGACCAATAATATATACACTAGTCAAGTCACCTTCATTTATATAGCGCCGGCTTTTAACCATATAGATTGTTTGAAAGCAGCTTTACAGTGATAATAGGAGATTACAGTAACAGAGATAGTTTTGGCTTTACAGCAGCTCTAGAATAAAGTTATTGTCCAGCTAAAGTTAGTTTTTGATTGATTCACTTCCGTTGTAAAGATCATTAGTTATTAACTGCTTACACAACACCGTTCTAACAGAAACAGTGTCTGGCGGCTCGAGAAGGCAAACCTTAAAATAGGTTACAAGGTGCAAGCGTTGAAAAATTATGAGAAAAAGTGATCTCTGCGCAAACCTGTGAGAACGCTGACGGCGTGCACATGCGTATTACGTGTTCAGTCTATAGGTGTGTGTGTTTGAATGTATATGTGCGCAGACGTGTAGTGTTTCTTTACAAATTGACTACTGTTTGTTTACACGTTTTGGGTCTGTACGATTTTTAAAATGTTTTTGAAAGAAGTCTCTTCTGCTTACCAAGCCTCGAAAATACAGTAAAAACAGTAATATTGTGAAATATTACAATTTAAAATAACCTTTTTCTATTGTGATATAATTTAAAATGTAATTTATTCCTGTGATGTAAAGCTGAATTTCCAGCATCATTACTCCAGGCTTCAGTGTCACATGATCCTTCAGAAATCAGTCTAGCTGTTGATATTGTTGATCATCAGTAATCCTACTTCCTGATATGGTATATACATGTAGCTATGATACAGAACACATGGTAAAAAATACACAAAATACAACCAATAGTACGGTAATGTTAAATCTTACTTGTGAAAAGTAATCTCCCGAGCCCTATTTGCGATGGTCCGGCGATTTGAGCAGGAATATGCTGCACAGTGCTCGGCATCTTAACTGCTGCTGTGCAACGCATGTATGACCGGTTAAAGATGGCGGCCGCATTTCTTGCACCCAGCGGCCAATAGGGCGTCTAGCTCTATATTATGTCTATGGGTTTTATTCTGTTGCTGCTGGTTTTCAAAAAGTGAAACTCTTAAACTCAGCTTTTCCAGACTTCTGTAAAGACCTGTCAGCATGAACTGGTGTGTCTCTAGGCGCGTTTCCATTAAAGATTTGGTAGGTTTATATACATCAGAGCCACCGCACTAGACATTATTATTATTAATGGAAGGAGACGTGGCGTGTTCTCCAAGCTTTAATGGAGAGGAAAGACCCGTATACTGTGAGCGGCACATATGAGGAGTTTCTCTGTGTTTCTCCCTCATTTCTGCCCCGAGGTCGTGATTGTGGCATTTCTTTGAGGTTTAGAATCCAGTATTCCTGTAATTCTTTTTTCTTTTATGAATTTAATAAAGAACTGTGTCTCGTCTTCTGTCCGAACACAGCGCACCCTTCGAAGTCAGGCGACTGTAAATGCGCAAAAACTGCTTCCATTGCAGTTTTGAGAAATATTCCTTTTTTCGAATTGCCTGAAAAACCACCTCACGCGAGCGTACAAACCTTTTTGCGATAAACGGGGAGTTTTCGCGAAATTGACGTGTTTCCATTGAGCGCATTTTCAATTCGCAATTTGAAGGGTAATGGATACGCGGCTTCTGTCTCCAGCAGTGGCAGTGGCGCCCACAGCCCAGCCGGAGGATGATGGGGGTTTCACGCCGGCGTGGGTGGATCATCAGCAGCACCAGCTCGGCCCGATGGACTCCACCGACGAGAGCAGGCGAGAGATCCAGGAGATGCCCTCCGCACGACCTCCCGCCGAAGACGACGAAGAGAGTGAGTATCAGCAGGGCTACGCTCGCATCGCCGTAGGACACACTTAACCAATATCACACGAGCAAGTGTGAGCTTTTCCCAATATCAGCACGACTGCAGATGTGATGGTGACTTTATACAACAGTTCAATAAACAAGGAGTTAATATTGTTACATATTAGACACATTATTGTCTGTTTTTGAATGAATCAGTCATTCAAAGATTCATTTATAAAGATGACTGACTTGATTTGCTCTCTGAATGACTCATAGACCTATTGGTGGTTTTTAGATTCATATTTGAATTTTAATTTCCAAAAATTAAATGATTTTTAACACATTAAACTAATAGCATTATCCATGCATTTGTACTTGCAGTGTAAAAACATCTAAATGCTGTTTTAGATGCAGCTTCTGCAGTGCAAAAATGCTTTTTGTTGATACTTTTATTTGTAACATTCTGCTATAGTGTCCTATTATTCCAGTGGAATTTATTTATTAAATGTAAGAATTTGACATCACAGATATTGCATACATCTAATAAGGTTAGGGGGGAAAAGCCCTTATAAAGGTAAAAATGCCCCTGAAAAACAATAAAGTTAATTAAAAAGTGTATTTCTGTCCCTTCTGTAAACTAACCACTCACTGCACAGAATATGTAGAATATGAAAAGCTTCAGGAGTCAGCTGTCAACAACAGACCTAAACCAGTCAAAAACACACTCAGCTAAATATCGAGAGATCATTTTTGTCAGTATCACACACCCCTACTCCTGAGATGACATGCAAATAGTTCTGATTCAAAATGCAGTGACACGCTTATATTAGCAAGTGATGGATATAGTCATAAATTCAGAGGAAAAACATCTGAGATGCCCGTTAAAGGGATAGTTCACACAAAAATGAAAACTCTGTCGATAATTACTCTCCCTCATGTCGTTCAACCCCGTAAGACTTTCGTTCATCTTCAGAACACAAATTAAGATATTTTTGATTAAATCTGAGAGCTGGATCACTCCTCCATAGGCTTCTATGTTATTGAAACTTGCCGGCCCAGAAAAGTTATTAAAGATATTGTTAAAATAGTCCAAGTGGCTCAACCTTAAAGGGGTGGTTCAGGATTTTAGACATCGGGCCTCATTTCCAAGTTAGCCTGGGTGTCATTTATCAGTGGAGACAGTTTTCAAAAATGTTCATCCAGTTGTTCCAGTTGCATAGTTCGCCTGTGCTAGGCTAGCGTGAGTCAACGGTAACTGCTAGCCTGCCATTAAAACAGTTTTACCCACTCCACATACACCAAACGCAAATAAATTATAACGCCAGACTATCGATGTAAATGTCTGTTAAGAGAATAATGTTAAAAATCAAACTACTCTTGCATCTCAATGATCGCAATCGACGAGAATACTTTTTGTGCACAAAAAAAAAAAGAAGACTTTATTCAACTACCGTATTTTCCGCACTATAAGGCGCACTTAAAAGGCTTTAATTTTCTCAAAAAACGACAGTGCGCCTTATAATCCGGAGCGCCTTATATATGGATGGTGAACACGTTCACCAAGACGGTCAGACAGCACCGGGCGACTTACGCCACTATCTGCCAATGGATCGTGGATGCCTGGGCTGATATATCAGTCTCAACTGTGATCCGAGCTTTCACGAAGGCAGGAATAATCTCTTTATTCAGCCAGCTCACATACCCGTATTTACTTCCTGTTTTCGGCCGAAGTCCACAATAGTCGATTGTCGAGTGCGCGCGCAGCGCGCGATCAAACCTCCTCCGTGTGTTCAACATTTGATTCGGATGAACTATCCATTTGAGCTGATGTTCTCAGCACACCACACAGCACCGTCATCAGCTGTCAGTCTGAGTCTCCACTGTTGCTTAGTTACCAATGATCGCGCGCGCACTCGACAATCGCCTACTGTGGACTTCGACCGAAAACAGGAAGAAAATACGGGTATGTGAGCTGGCTGAATAAACATCATTTTTATTCATATCTTTCACATTTACTGCAGTCAGATTCACCGTGTTCACTCACATGGCTGTGCACTTGTAATGACACATTAAGGTTGTTAAGAGGCTAAAAGCAGGTTTAAAACTTTTCCCGTTTAAGTCAACAGGGTGCACATTTTGAAAAAAAAGAGGATAACACGGTGTAGGCAACACCGGTTTTTGTCGTTGTTATCTGTACTGACAGCACTCCAAATTTACAAAAAATGAGCTCAATGTTAAAATTGACCGGAGTTTTCCTTTAACGTTTGAACAACGTTACCATGGGAGTGAACGGAGTTGTCAGAACGCTTAATAAAGTTTGACTTCATCTGACTGTTTTGTTGACATCTAGTGGATGCATAACGCAAACCCAGTCAAATGTTTGACTGCAGTATCTTATGCGCCTTATAATCCGGTGCACCCTATATATGAAAAATGTTCTAAAATAGGTCATTCATTGAAGGTGCGCCTTATAATCCGGTGCGCCGTATAGTGCGGAAAATACGGTATTCATTTTCTTCTCTCTGGGCCTCGAGTGAGTTCACGTAGTGTAACAGCGCAGCGCTTCTGTGTTGTACGTCACACGTAGGCTCACTATTGGCCGACGTTGGTCATGTGACGTACAACACATCTTAATTTGTGTTCTGAAGATGAACGAAAGTCTTACGGGGTTGGAACAACATGAGGGAGAGTAATTACTGACAGAATTTAAATATTTGGGTGAACTATCCCTTTAATACCTGGTGTGAATTGGGCCACAGCTGTTTTATATACATTTCTAGGTGTTTTGTAGCACTAATGATCAAGTGAACACTGGTTTAAAATCATGGTCAGTCAATATTTCCGTGTTTTAATTATCCACATCAGCCGATTGCATTCAGTCATAAGCGGGACTTTTATTTTCACAGCACTGAGAGCCAGAGTCATATTTATGTCCTGTTCACTGTGTACTGAGAGTAAAGTCAGCAGTGTCACCCTGGCTTTCGCCACTAATTCTAAAGACCTTTTGGCACGCCGGTTTCTCCAATGTGCAGAGACCCACACTTGGCCTTTACTTGACGCTGAAAACGCTATATAGACTATATACTTATTTAATTAAATCACAGCCTTTTGATTTGCTAAGAGCACTAGGCCTTAATGTGCTTTCGATTTTAGTTCGATTGACACTCTGTGCCAAAGTAGGTGCATTTCCATTACAGATTTGCACAAAACTTTTGCGATATTTTCGAAATGTCGATAAAAAATCTACTGTTTCCATTAACAGATGTAATGCAACTAAAACGTCATTTTTCCCGATAACTCATTCCAAAAATGATGGCAACAGATGTTGGTATGTTTACCAGTTATATCCCAGTTACTAGCCATTATTTTTAATGGAAGGAGACATAGACATGTATCCAAGCTTTAATGGCAAGGAAAGCCCCTTATACTGTGATCACACATATGAGTGTTTCTGGGTGTTTCTCCCTCATTTCTGCTTCAAGCTCTTGATAAATTATCGCATTTCTTTGTTGTTCAGAATCCAGTATTCCCGTAATACTTTTGTCTTTTATGAGTTTAATAAAGAACTCGGGCTCGTCTTCTCTAGAGCAATAACTCTAAAAGCAAAAAAAAAAAGCAATAACTGTTTCCATTGCAGTTTTGCGAAATATTCCTTTTTCGAGCTGCCTGAAAAACCACATTATACGAGCGTACAAACTTTTTTGCGATATATAATAGTTTTTGCGAAAATTACGTGTTTCCATTGGCCGTATTTTCAATTCGCAGTTTCATTTTGCTCAATTTGAAGGGTAATGGAAACGCGGGTAGTGATGGCTCAAAATACAATGTTAGTGATCGCATATGTTATAATGAGAAATTATTTTCAGTTCATTATGAAACTGGAGGGACAGATAAGACTGTGGCAGTCCAACAGAATCGAGGTATTTAATGGGAAACGCTGCAAAATAGGATTAGAGAATCAAGGCCTTGCTCTCTGAAGTTTACTATATCTCTGTTGTATAATATCTCTGCCTGTATGTGATGTGAAAAAAAAAAATTGTTTTAATTATGTTGGCTATTATTTTGGATGTTTTTAAATCCAATGTGGATCCCATTAAATGTGTTTGAAAATGTGTTTTTTGAAGTTGCACAATATTGTAACCTGTAAGCCGAACCCTCACTGTGTGTTTTTCCTGTGTTTGTCAGGGGGTGTGAAGCTGGGTCTGGGAGATTTCATATTTTACAGTATGCTGGTGGGTAAAGCGTCCGCTACAGCCAGCGGAGACTGGAACACCACTCTAGCCTGCTTCGTGGCCATTCTCATCGTAAGTATCCCACAGGACACTCACTAAATAAGGCTTTTTTCAGGTACTATTCTCCCAAAACGTATTAGCACACCTGAGCCACGGTTTCACACCTGCCGTTTGTCTTGAAACATGGCTCATTTTACCCTTAGTTCGGTTTGTGTGGGCATATGAGGGCGTTTGTAATCCCATTAGACAACTTAAAGCACATGTCATCTCCAAACAAATGATGTTAGAGTATTACTTAATCAAGAATACAAATAACACGTTGTCTGTGGTCATGTAACAGACTGCAAAGGTATTGGTTTCTGGTGCTAGGGGAGATGGAAAGGATCTTTAAGGGTGCTTTCACATCTGTAGTTCGGTTCATTTGGTCCGGATTAAGGGCGAAAAATTATACTGTGTATCATTTTCAGGCGTTTTGGTTCCTTTTCACACCACACTGATCGCTCTGGTCCGAATCAGTTGATGAAACGAACCAAAATGCAGTCACGTGACAACATCCACATCACTCGTTGGCCAGATGTGTATTGAACATTTTCCACAACTGCACTTCGATTGGTTAGAATTAACGTGCGGGAAAATCCCAACAGAACTCCCGGAAGTAAACACAGAGGAGGAAGATCCGGCAGATATGCGGAGAATTCGCTCACAATGTATGTTCAGAATCAGCACGAGCTTTAATAGCCTTTCGCAAATCCCCTCATAAACAACAAAGTCTAGACGCGATATAGATAAGAGATTCACTGTGCAGTGCGGACAACTGCAGTGTTCATGAGGAGAGTGCAGAACGTGGTAAGTCATGGCTTAAAGGGAGCGCTATTGACCATCTAAATAATAGTTTTATTTGACTACGGCAGCTGGTTTAGTCCAAAAATGCGCAGTTCTTTGGCAGTCGGGTCTGTTTAAGGTCGGATCACGTTCTCACCACAAACGAACCGCTCCAGAGTTCGTTTGAAAGCGTACCGAGACCTCCTCGAACTTATTTGGTCCGCTTTTGGTCCGCACCCGAGTGCGATTGCTGCATTCACACCGGTCCGAACGAACCGCACCAAGGGGGAAAACGAACTCTAGTGTGATTCAACCCAACTAAATGAGGCAGGTGTGAAAGCACCCTAATATTCAGTTAGATTTTGACCCAGTCTCACTGGTGTTGGGTAATAGATGCATTACTTCGTCTGCTAATAAGAAATTGTATCATATTCTATCGTTTGCTGCCAGGAAAAATATTTGTCTCCATCCCTTAAAGGATTGCATAAGATCAGTTTTGAGTTGATGCCCCTGGAGCCTTACCTGTGTGTTACATTGAAAAACAGGCCAGTTTTACAAAGTCTGGACCCATATCTGGACGCTTTCGAAGCTTGTCTTTGCCCTATTATATTACAAGGAGCATTGTAACTGTGTAACTTTCTGGACATTTCACCTTATTTTGTCACCCTCTTCATCTTTTGGAAATGTTATTTTATACATGTTATGCTGTATATAATGTTGTTGCTATTTTGTTTCCACAAATCGGTCCTGTTTTAAATAAAAAAAATCTCTTTTTTTGCTTCTGGTATGGAAGCATTTGGGTAGCAATATTCAATTTGAAATGTAATATGCAAAATGACAATGCAATATGTAAAAGGGCAATGCATTTCTGTATTTAAATTGACATTTTCCAATACATTTGTGCAGCGTTTGGTGCAAAATGAAAATGATTCAATTATATAATTTCATACACTAGTTTTAATATGTAAATTGAATACATATTTTAACACTTTATAAGTTGCAAAATTAAAATGTATTACAGAAATGATTAGATATGTTTAATATATTCAAGCAAAAACTGTAGCAGGACACTTAATGAAAATGCAATCGCAAGTGCCTTAAATGTGAGTGTAAATGCAATTAAGAAAAATAACATTTAAATGATCATTTTGCTACAGTTGTTGCTTGAACATGTTAGACATATCTGAGCATTTCTGTAATACATTTTCATTTTGCAACTTATAAAGCGTTAAAATCAGTATTCAATTTACGTATTAAAACTAGTGTATGAAATGGCAAATGTAAATTATACAGGTGAAACTCGAACAATTTGTGCAAGAGTTCATTTATTTCAGTAATTCAACTTAAAAGATGAAACTAATATATTATATAGACTCATTACATGCAAAGAGAGATATTTCAAGCCTTTATTTGTTATAATTTTAAAGATTATGGATGACTGCTATGAAAACCTTTTCACAATATTCTAATTTTGAATTTGGGGTTTTGCTGTAAGCCATAATCATCAAATCGAATACTGATTTTAACGCTTATAAGTTGCTAAATTAAAATTAAAATGTATTACAGAAATGCTCAGATATGTCTAACATGTTCTAATTTTTCGAGTTTTTCACTTCTAATTTTTCTTTTTGTGCCAACAATGCACAAATGTATTGGAAAATGTCAATTTAAATACAAAAATGCATTGCCATTTTGCATATTACATTTCAAATTGAATATTGCTACCCAAATGCTTCCATACTGGGGGGGGTTGATGTCTTGTTATATTTGTATTTCAAGAAAATTCAATAAACATAATTATTATAAAAAAATAAAAAAAAAGAATACAAATAACCTAATCCCTTTTGCATCAAAAAATGCACAATTTATTAGCTTTTTACAATATTCTGATTATCTTCTTCTTCTTCTTCTTCCCCTCAGGGTTTATGCCTAACTCTTCTCCTCCTGGCGATCTTCAAAAAGGCTCTTCCAGCTCTCCCCATCTCCATAACCTTCGGCCTGGTGTTCTACTTCGCCACCGATAACCTGGTGCGGCCCTTCATGGATCAGCTGGCCGTCCATCAGTTCTACATCTAGAGAGGTCACTTCTCACACACACTCCGTCTGCAGCGTATTCCCAGAACCCTCTTTCAGGGGCCGTGAACCCTGTAGACTAGCACACCCTTCCTCTTCCTCTGGACACGACTGGATCCGCTGTTTTTGGCATTGAATGACTCTTTATTAATTACAGTGCCTCTCCAGTGACTGATATTTGCTTTGGTAACATCTTTGTTTGTTTGGAGAACACACAGACACCATCTAAAGTCATCTTACATGTATGAATGCATTTCCGTTGGTGGATGACCGTGGTTATGACTGAATCTGGAGTTGGATCGACTCTGTTGTATGGAATGGGACCAGAGCTTGCTTTGTCCACCAGATCTTGGATTCACTCTCTAGGCATTATGTTAATTCCTGCTCTGATTTAGCGAACATTAACCCAAAGCCCTCTGAATGATATGACTGTTCACACACAGGTAAGGTACTTTGAGTTTTGGATCGATGCCTTGAGTTTTCTTTATCACCATCAGAGTCCATTTGACCATTTGAGACAATATCACATGTTCTGGTTTACTCTAGCATTAAATCAAGTGCTGATCCAAGCTAGTGTTGTGCTCTCCTGGAAAGTTTGGGAGCATCATTTTGGAATGTATAAACTTTCTCTTTTAAATTTCCTTCATGTTTGGACAAGATAGTGGTTTGTTTGTTTGTTCAATTTTTTTGTTGTTTTGTTTCTCTTCCTCTATTTTTTTTTATTTACCTGCAAAATGATTTATGAGTTACTTTTACTTTCATACCACCCACATCATGTCATTTTAAGAAAAAATTTTGTAACTAAATTGAAAGATTCACAAATAAAGGGGTTGCTCATTTGAGCACATTTCAGTCTTCTGTATTATATTCTCTTAAAGTTTTAGAATTGAGGGATTTTCTTTATCTTCGGCCCTGATTACACACCGATTATACAGTAAATATGTAAATTGGGGGTCCAAACCGTTTTGTAATCAATCACGTTTTGGAGAAAAGTCCACCAAAAGAAAATTTTACTATTCCTGCAATGCACTCGGACATAGCCGTTTGTTGACCAATGAGCATCCAGTTGTGTACATACTGCTTTTAGAAGATGTTTAGCATATTTGTGAACCATTTTTAAAAACCATTCTTGTATTAATTTGTTGCCATCAATTCAGTACAACGGTATATGAAAGACCATTACCGAACAGATTTGTTTACCTGTAATAATTCTGTAGCCTTCTCTTTATCTGTACTCTCCAATATTGAGGTGTGTGTATGTGTGTGACTGACTATCCCCTAATCTCATGTGATTGTGGATCACTGTGGGGGCTCATTGTTTTTGACCTATTGTTCAGTCTCCCTGATGCCGAATGGTGGGAACATTTCAGAAATTCCTGCATATTGTAGGAGCGTCTCCCCCCTTTACCGGCTCCCTGACCCTCTGGAACTGGCATGTTACCTGAAACCCTGGAGGTAGCAGTAGTTTCCATGGGAACCGCTTGGCATGGCATGCTGGGATGGCCACTCTCCTTTGTGATTGGACCTTGGCGATTAGCGTCAAGCTGAGCCTTCACGTTCCACCTGAAGTCTACAGTTCCTTTGTTCATCTAATCAACAGAGATTATTTCGCAAGAACACAATGGTTTTCAAAACTCGGCATGTGTTTTTGCTTATAAACTTGATACCTCAAATTGCTGTCGGACTTGCGAGTGCTCCCTGGTGGACAATAAAATGGCTGATTTGCGTGGAATGAAGGTACTAAGCTCTTCAAATCCAGTCCTGGAGGGCCAATGCCGGTCAGACTTGTGTACCAATCTCAATGTAACCCACCTGTCTGTGATTTGCTAGTTCTCAACATCTTGGCCCTGTTTACTCCTGGTATTAAGATGTGTTTTGGTCAATCGGATCACAAGTAGACGAGGCAGACGCGTTCCCGTTCACACCTGGGGCCGGTTTCACCAAGATAGACTTTGACTATGGCTTAGATATAGTAGATAGTCAGACTTCAGATAAACGTCTAAATCACACCGTTGCACAAAGCACTGGAGACTCTGACTATCTTAAGTAGGACTACACTGCAATGCATTCTGGGTAAAGTACGTCACTTTTCAAAACAAAAAAAACCTGGCGGATGGAGTAAGCGCATTCAACCGCTCGGCGCAGTTTACCCCAGCGGGAGATATGTGTTTGTGTTGGAGGAGTGTAACAGTCACAAGGACATTTTACTGGGGAAATTTAGCGGAGAATGTAGAAACAAGAAGACATGTTTCATTTGGACAAAGATTGCTGCGACAGTTAACAGCGTTAAGATACAAAAACACGGTACAAGATGCCAAAAAAAATTATATTTAAGAAGAAATATCCAAAAAACAGGAGGAGGATCCCAAGATAAACTTTAAGACACTGAAATGGTGATGAATATATATGGTAAGGGCATTTTCCCTTTTCTTTCGGCTGTTTGTAGTGTAACTGATTGTTACTGCTGGTTGCCACGGTAACAGAGTCTTAGGCCGTGTGTCCACCAAAGCGTTTTTCCACGCGCCTGGCGTTTGTTTTCAATGGGAGCGCCGCGTTTTTAGAACGCCATGAGCGCAAAGAGGCGCTGGACGTTTTTTACTGGTCGCCGAGAGTTGAAAAATGTTCAACTTTGGATAAAACGCAGCGCTCATCACTGTCACTTTTACCCAGCCGTCCAATCACAGTGAAGGAGGGGCGGGACTTATACCACACCGACCAACTGTCACAACATTCTTTCTGTACAACGACATCAACCAGAAAAGCAAAACGAACAAAATGGATGAAAAATAATTTTTTGTATGAAACAAATTACTTTATTGTGCTGCGGATATTCTGTATCATAGCAACGAAACGTCTCAACGGAAAAAACGGAGCGCTGCCAAAACGCTCTCAAGCGCCCTCAGCTCGGCGTCTTCAGCAGAGCGTCTAGCGTTTTCAGCTGCCTAAAAACGCTTTGGTGGACACACGGCCTTAGACCTAAGTTAGCCTGGGGGAAAGGTGTCTAATTCTTTTGGTCTAAATTAAGTCAGTCTTTATTTTTGTGAAACAGTCTATCTTGCATTAGACTAGTCTATGAGCAAATTCTAGACTTGTCTAACACTATAAACCGGTCTAAAATAGAAACCGGCCCCTGGTGTTTTAATCCGTCTCTTTTGTCCACTTTCAACCACTTCTGTCCTGATTTCTTCGAGGGGAGGGGCAATGTATGGGCTTTTTCAGATATTTTGATCTAATGGACAAAATAAGCTCAATTCAATTCACAAAGGCCGGAGACAACAGAAAAGCACACAGGGCAGTAGTTTTTGTTTCTGCTCTGACAGACGCAAGATCACGCCGAACGCTGTGAGTGTGTGTTAGAAATCAGGAATGGTGAGCGAGCATTGGGTCTCATTCACTAATAATTGCGTGGATTATTTTGTATTTGTACGCACAGGAGAACTTCTCACGAAAAATCTCTGCCTCATTCACAACGTTTTCATACACACGTGAATTTCTTCGTTCTGATGTTAGTGAATTTGGAGTATAGAGGGAATGCATTGACGTCACTTTCCCGCGGGAACACACTCCCTCAGCCACACTGAGTGGCAGAAGAGCTACGGCGTGACTGGGTTTAACACGGGAAACTGCGAAAACTCGAGTAAAACAAACAATTTTCAATATTTAAACTAAAGGTTGGACTTGATGTAGTGTTCCTTACAACTTACCAAAGGTCCAGTGATCCGTGGATATCGACATGCAGCCGAGCACAGTGTTTCCTGACATTTACATGTGCCTGATTTACATACATAAAGAAAATTTGCACATTAAACACTTTATATAAATACAATATAGGTAGGTCTAAATCCGGGTGATCACTTATTTCAATGTTGTACATATCATCATATCGTCCAGCCCGAATACTTGTATAGTTTTGTCAGTGTTTATGGTAACACTTTACTTGAAGGGGTGTGCATAAGACTGACATGACACCTTCATAACCATGACATGACTTATGTCATGAATATGAAGTAGGGTTTATGCATGTTTATGACAACTGTCATTAAGTGTCATTTGCTCAATTATGACATTTTTAATGCAAATATGACATTGTTTGAGATGTCTTTGTTATGACAACTTGACATAAACCAATACATCATAACCTGTCAGTGTCTTTGTCATGACAACTTGACATTACCAAGACAACATAAATTGTCATAAACATGACATAGCAGATTAATTATCAAACCACTTAGCTTTATGGGTTAACATTACATTAAACTGTCATGTGGTTGGTTTTGACATTGGCTGTCATGAGGCCATTATAACATTTTAATGACAAATTCAATGTGTATCACTGTAGTCGAGGTCAAGAAAAATATTCATGACACAGTTATAATGGCCTCATGATAGCCAATGTCAACACCAGCCACATGACAGTTTAATGTAATGTTAACCCATAAAGCTAAGTGGTTTGATAATTAATCTGCTATGTCATGTTTATGACAATTTATGTTGTCTTGGTAATGATTATGAAGGTGTCATGTCAGTCTTATACACACCCCTTCAAGTAAACTGTTACCGTGTTTATTTAAAAACATCCAATTATGCATAATATACGATTGTAAATCTTTTATTGATGAGTTGTCAATACAATCTAAAGGTTATGATTTTACCCCTAAATTTTGCATATTGAAAGGCTGCAAATCCACCGTTCGCTGCCTGGATCCAGTTGTTTAACTATGAATTGCAACGATCCATTTGCTTCTCTGTTCTTTTGGCAGTCTGTTAAAATATAGCTCAGATTTCTTGTCAAATCTTTTTATTCAGTCTTTTTTCTATCCTCGAGAAATGCCAATTCTCAACAGCTTTTATACAGACCCAGATTACAGACCTCTCATTAGCCAGCTGTACATCTGCGTTATTCACAGAAACCTCACAGCTTATACTCTTTAACTGTAGTATATGATGGGATGTATTGAAAATGAAATTGTATTATTTAATACTTTTATTATATAATTTTATATATGCAATAATCCAACATACTTCAATAAAATTAGGATGAGATAACTTCTTAACACGATTATAAAGCCATACAGAGTAGGCTAACTGCTTTTTGCATACGTGTGGTTTCAGTTGTTCCTATATTTTTTCATAAATTTATTGCCAATTTTTTTGTGAGCGTGATTTGTTCTTAAAATCGTTCGTACGCACAAATTTGTGTGTACGCATGCTTAGTGAACGAGACTCGTTGTGCTTGGTAGATCTTCGTCTTCAAAGCAAACTTGGATCTCCTGCTGACAAAGTTTAAATCCTGTCTGGCTAGATAATGTGTGTAAATCCCATAATGTTTATGCGTTAGGTCAGTAGGCGGAGAGCAGGCGGTCTTATTTGACTGTTCGACCACATGAGCGTTTACACTACAAAAGCAATCCGGTCTAATGTGTTCTTGAAAGTGGACAAGCTCAAAACGTTTTTAAACCCTTGTATTTAGCATCGCCCAATTGTGATCCGATCGCCCAAACGCATCTTAACCACAGGTGTAGACCGGGCTCTTGATTAGCTTGTTTGGTTGGGGTTAGAGCTAAACTTGCTGGCCCTCCAGGGTTGGAGTTGAAGGGCCCTGACCTAAACCAAACATATTCCTATTGGTTAGGGTGTCCAATCCTGCTCCTGGAGGGCCACTTTCCTGCAGTTTAGCTCCAAATCATTTGCCTGAAAGTTTCTATTGATCCTGAAGACCTTGATTAGCTGGCCCTCCAGAGTCGGATTTGAGGAACCCTACAGTAGAGCATGGTTCTAGCAACAGTAAGCTTGTGGACTTGATTCCCAAGGAATGCATGAAGCTGATAAGATGAACGGTATACTTTGAATGA